CTTCATCCTTCCCTAGTCAGGATACTGTTTTCGGGCCTACTTTGTTCGGAAAGTCAGACATTCCCCATTTGAACGCTTACTCCCAACAAGTGGTTCTAGCATGTCCCGAAGCAATATCAGATATCAAACAAGAACTAAAGGAAATGTACGAGCTAGACGGAATGGGGATATTGACCGACGAATACAAAACAGATGACACAACTCATGAGTACCTAAATGAGTACTCCAAACGCATCCGCATAGAAGACGGGGTGATAACCGCTCCTTTTCCGCTGAAGGATAATGTAGTGGACCTGGAGAACAATTACAATGTGGCTCTTTCGAGACTGACCTCACTGTACAGGTTCCATAATCTACATCACGATCAAAAAGAGTGGTATTCAAAAATATTAGAAGAGTATAAAAAGCACGACATCATTGAGGAAGTTCCGATTTCGGAGCGCTACTGCCCCGACAAGACCACTTATTACATGCCCCATTCAGGAGTGTGGAAGAGTGAAAAACCCACTCCCTTGAGAATTGTCTTTGATGCTTCTTCAAAAGGCGTTGGTAAGCTTTCTCTTAATGACGTCATGCATACCGGCGGAAGTTTCGTGAACAAAATCCAAGACATTCTCACGAATAGCCGATGGTGCAATATTCTGATTACAGCTGACATCCAAGCAGCATTCACCCAGATCAGAATCGCTGCAGAACACCGCGATTTGCTAAGATTCCTGTGGCTAAAAGATCCGAATCAAGCTCCTTCACCATCTAACATGGTCCACTACAGGTTCAAGCGACTACCGTTTGGAACAAAAGCTTCACCCAGCATTCTGAACATGTCGCTGGCAGCTTTTCTTACCACAACGGGAACAGTCCTGTCCAAAGAGATTCTAGATAACATCTACGTCGATAACGTCTTCCTAGCAGCAAATACCGAAGAAGACGCACTGGAGAAAATTGAAAACTCCAGAAAGCTCTTCCGCAATATTGGAATGAACTTGAGAGACTTCACCAGCAACTCAGAATATGTTAATAAACATATTCCTGATGTGGTCAAAGGTAAGACTGGCAACACAAAATTGCTTGGGGTAGCTTACAACACTGAAAGCGATGAGCTCCTCCTTGATGTAAGGCTATCTCAAAAGCAACAGATGACCAAAAGAGAACTTGTGAGTGCAGTCCACAAAATATACGATCCTCTCGGCCTGGCACTACCCTTGACCCTCAAAGCAAAACTGCTGATGAGAGAGGTAGTTATGCTGAAAATAGCTTGGGGAAAACCTCTTAGCACGGAATACATTAACAGGTGGAATGAAATTTGCACGGAAATTTCCGGTACTTCTATCAGAGTGCCGCGCAATATCGGCCTGACACTTCATGACGGAAAAGGTTCAACACTATGGGTATTCGGTGATGCAAGTCAGCTGGCAATATCCTGCTGCAGCTACGTTACTCCACCCAGCAATCAAACAAAGGGCTTATTGTGCGCAAAAACACGGCTCGCTCCAAAAGAAAGACAATTAACCATCCCAAGGCTCGAACTTCTTGCCATTTTGATATCTCTCCGATTGGCAAAAACCATACTACGATCGTACCAAGGTCGCATAACTAAGGTTTATATTGTGAATGATAGCAAAATAGCATTAGCCTGGACACAAACCTCAAGAAGGCTTCCTCTTTTCGTAGCTAATCAGGTGGACAGAATCAAAAAGCTTCACCATTCTATCCAAGAACTTGGAATATCATTACAATTGAGCTACATTGAGTCCGAAAATAATCCTGCTGATCTCGCGACTCGACCTGTTAGTAAAACACAATTCAAGGCTAGTGATTGGCTCTCTGGTCCTCATTGGTTTAAATTACAACCAAATGATTGGCCAATTGACTCATCATGGGAGCCGAATTCAAGCGACCAAATAAGCGCTGCGACAACATGCGCACCCACGGTCAAAGCACCACTACAACG